TCCGGCCTATGCTTGGTATACTACGGGTAAGATACTTCCCTACTTTACGGGTAAAATATTTCCCCTATTACGGGTAAAATTTTTTCTTATTTTTTCCCTATTTCATACTACGGGTAAGATATCAACAGAACGCACACGCTCGACCTCCTCAACAAAACTCTTCAAGAAACCAGCGTCGACCTCCGGCCTATGCTTGGTATACTACGGGTAAAATATTTCTCTACTTTACGGGTAAGATATTTCCCCTATTACGGGTAAGATTTTTCCTTATTTTTTCCCTATTTCATACCACGGGTAAGATATCAACAGAACGCACACGCTCGACCTCCTCAACAAAACTCTTCAAGAAACCAGCCTCGATCTCCGGCCTATGCTTGGTATACTACGGGTAAGATACTTCCCTACTTTGCACTCATATGTCATATTATACACTTTGGGTAAGCGTTACAAAATACTTCTCTGGTCGAAGTCGGCAAGTTAACCGGGGTTATTCATTGTGGATATTGTTGCAGTGAGTTGCGTGTTCGAGACCCACAACAAGCTGTGCACATTTTCGATGTTTTGAATCGGGTACAGACGCAGTAGCCTAATCATCGATGCTGATACCGTTATTATTATTATTGATTGTTTTGTCACACTGATAAACGTGACTAAACTTTTTCGTCTCATTTCGAGACTCGATTTTTTTTTTCGTTAACTGATTAAATTTTGAGAGTATGGCTTCGCGTCTGAAATTTGTCAATGATTAGTTTTCGTGCCTTGAATCGCGAGTGAAATTATTTATCCTTTAAATCGAGTATTCGCGATACAGGCTGAAAAATTAATAACAATTAAAAATTTAAGCAAATTCATTCATATTTAAATGAAAATCTATCGAAAACCAGCTTCATCATTAGACCGAAAGTTACAAAATTATAGAATGAAAAAAAATTTGATCCGCATTTTCTTTGTTTTAAATTCTTGGCTTATGAGCCATTTAAACAAAGGAATTTTATAGGTAATTCAATAGCCTACAGTTTATATGTTAATTCTTCTATGCTGGCTAACTCGTTATTTTATTCTCATCATAGCAGATAAAAAAGTGATAATTCAGTCGACAACTAAAATCATCTGACCAAACGTGACAGAAGTTTCAGCGGGACACAGCATGCAACACATGCGTCGACGACCGTCCCCCGCCGCTGACTGCGCTAGACGCGGCCGTGCGGTTGCCGTGGCGCGGCGTGGAGCTGCCGCAGCTGTACGCTTGGCCGAATGGACGACTTGGCAACCTCATGGGCGAGTACGCGACACTCTTCGCCCTCCACAAAATCTACAACGTCACGGTTGCCATCACTCCAGCCTTCTACCGAGAACTACAACCTTATTTCAAGAAGCTCTCCATACCAGTAATCAAGAAGTGTAAGCAGTCCCGTTACGAAAAAATTTTCTAATGAAATTATGCGCTTTGGTGTACACATTTCAGTAACAATGCCCGTTATAGATTTGAGTAAAGAGACAGTAGCTATTTGTGTGAACTTTGAACGCCGCTGCCGGGCTCGACTTTATGTATTTTTAATAATATTTACTAATCTAGTAAAACTAATTTAGAGTTAAGTCGTAAGACTTAAATATCAATCTGCATTTTTCGATATATTTACTTGAAGCAACTTGCGACGCAAATTCTGTTATCGCAAATCCACTCAAAAGCAAAACCTGGGATTGCATCGCATTAGTATTGTTCCCAAATTCATCAACTGCACTATCATTAGTGGTCTATTTTAGTCATATTAGTATCATTAGTAGCCATAAATAACACAATAATCTATTCTAAACCAACACACCAACATTACTAACCGCTTTCACATCAGTCAGGACGCGTGACTGGCTTGACGTGCGCCGGGACTTCGATGGCGCCGCGTTCACATACAAGACTTCGCACCTTGCCGCCTCCGGGTTGCTGGGCCCGCATCGTTTCCTGCTGCGGGGTGAGCACTGTCGTACAATAGCCTCACTGGTTAGGGAGCTTATACTAGTTAGCGTAACTAACACAAGTTAGGGAGCTCACTAGTTAGGGTGCTTATACACCGACATAGTAGTGGCATCAAGTACAACTTTCAAGGACTAAATGTAACTAATTTTCATGATACTTGCCTTTGGTAAAGGGAAGCTGGACCCTTCCATGGCCAGTAGTGTCTCTATGCGAGGCCACGAGAGGCGTTCAGAAGGATTTTCAAATGCTAACTGCTCCAATTATCGTGCTATACTGGCCTAGTCTACAGAGTTATTGCGTCATCCCGTGTCTATTAGCAGCTACTGAAAACGAAAACATTAGCATGGTAAATATTGGCGGTTAGTATTTTAACTGGCCGCCACTACTGTCTGTTTTTATACTGGCCGCCACTACTGTCTCCGAATATAAGCGTCGTGTTTTGAGCCCTGCACTAGTATAGTCAGTATGTGAATTGCCACGGTGATATTATTAGGAAGAGCTTGTTGTTACTAGTTATCTAACTTCCATTCAGAAAAATTCTGAGTAACCATTCAATAATGATGTTACTTGAATAAATATATTCATATCAAAAATTCAGCCACAATCAACAACTTGTTATTATGTTATTGTAATTTTTAGCGTTTACTGCTTATAAATACAACAGATTTCTCGTTTTCTGATAAGGTGTATAAAAAGTATTATAATTACATCTTCATACCACTTATGTTTATTCATTTCATACTCGTATTATTATATTTTCATTTTCATGCTGATTAAACTTAAATTCTCCGAAACGATTTCGTTTGAGATCTTGTAAATTTACAGGGCATTTTCTTTGCTTTTAAATTCTTAATGTCAATTGCTAATGAAGCTTCCACTCGACTCTCTTCTTCGAGTGGAATAACAACATAGCAAAAAAAAAACTCGCTTACTCTCGCTTCCAGCATATTATACGCGTTGAGACATTTTGCCACTTGTTAATATTTTACACAAATATTGTATATAATATTAATTATACCTATGTTTTTAAATATTTATGTATTCGCAAATCGCAACCATTTTGCGCATTTCGATCAAAATTTTCACGACTTGCGATTTTGGAACCACCTACTCGCTGCTCTAATCTAGACAATCTTAACCGCTTGGCAATCTTGAGTTCTGATAATTGTTTATCAAACGCCAGGCTAGTTACGAGGTTGTAAAGAAATATCTTTGAAATTCAAAAACTTCATCATCATTCTGACACCCATGGCAAAGTTGCAAGTGTGGGTTAACATTTTAAGGGAAATGTTATCGCGGGAAAGTCTATGTTCCAGTTCATGTCCAAATATTTCTCATCTTTGTGATGTAAAGTTGACGTTGATGCCCAGACTATCCATTCGAGGTGGGCTTGTTCAACGCCTTTCGCGATGAAGTTCTGCAAGAGTTCACATTCAGCGACGAAATTGTCAAAAAGGTGAAACTGCTTCTGAGTTTTTGTTTTCACTTTCGGGTAAACGGGATTTTCGGACCTATCTGTATAACGTCTAAGAGTTTCACACTTAAAAATAGTTGTTTAAGTTTCACACATTTTGAGATTATATAAAAATGTGAATTGGAGTAATTGAATTATAGGTTTGAGTCGCTGTCGTTATATTGATTGTTTGTTCGTTGCGGACTCAATGCACGAGATACGGTGAACTCTTCCTTAACAGTTTACAAATCTATACAAATTGACTACAACCAAAGAATAAAAAAATATAACTCAGTACTCACTGCAGTGAGTGACAGAGAGCGCATTTTCTCTTCGATGTAAACGTGAAGTCACGGACGGACAGACAGACAGACGGACGGACGGACAGACGGACATGGCGAGCACAATAGTGCATTTTTTCCATAAATGAAAAAATGCGCTAAAAAAACAGCATTACCCTTAGTTCAATTTTTGTGACAAAGTAAACAAATAATGCCAGTTACAGTTGAATTCGATACACTTATACTGATAAAAATTTTGACGTTAAGCATAATTTTACAAGAAGTTCTTTGTTCTATTATCTTCATTATTCCTTTCATCCACGTTTCTGTGTTTTTCTTCCAAATATTAATAATAATGCATTCTGTTCTAGTCAATTTTACTAACCTCTCAGCTAACCGTGTTTCCTACCAACATTAATTAATGCAATCATGTTATTAATTTACAATAATTGACCAACAATTAAGAAAACCGTTTTATGTCCTGAATAAGTACGGAGTGTCTAATATATCCTTTGGCACATTCTGTAATTAAATCTTTGCTCCCAAGTATCAAAATTCCCATTATTCATTAGTGAGTACATGATGAGCAGGCTCGGCTTCGCCTTGAGAACCTAACCTACAACCACACGCAGCCCGTCACGCTGGTCGGAGTGCACGTGCGGCTAACTGACTACGTCGACTTCATGACGCAAACCGTGAGCCAAAATAAATAATAATAATAATAGCGGTTTCAGCGTTTATTAGGCCAAAGGCCTGTTGCTGATTCTTAACATCGCAGAACATCCACAGCATGTTGCGGTCTCGAACTCACAACTCACTGATTCAAATTCTGCTGTGCTTAACCGCCCGGCCTCCTTGCCGATTCTGACCAGAAACTGGCGCACAGAGCTGGGATCGAACCCGCGCGAACCCGCCAATCTTGGTACTCTGAACTGTAACCACTGGGCCACCCTGCCCTGTAACCACCCTGCCACCACTGAGCCACCCATGACGCAAACCGTGAGCCAAAATAAGCAGAATGAACATTTTAATCAGGCATTATTCGGTCCCGGTATTCTAGATATAATCGGTTAGTTTAGGATTCAGGTATACTCGAATAAAATTCGATGTGTTACTATCTAGGGGTGGTCAAATTATTCAGACGACCAAGATAGGAAAAGCGAGTTCTGGGTTCGAGACCCAAATAGCGGGAAAATTATGCAATATTTAGAATCAGCGACGGACTATAGACATGTTAGTCTACAATGCTGACAANTTAGGATTCAGGTATACTCGAATAAAATTCGATGTATTGCTATCTAGGGGTGGTCAAATTATTTAGACGACCATGAGTGGAAAAGTGAGTTCTGGGTTCGAGACCCATATAGCTAGAAAATTATGCAATATTTAGAATCAGCGAAGGACTATATATATGTTAGTCCACAATGCTGACAACAACGTACTATCTACACTCTGCGTCTCGGAGAGTTGATATTTTAATTCCTCAAAACAATAGTCAAGACTGGGTTATTTATTTAATATTAATTATTTACTCGACCGGCAGTTATTTATTTATACACTCGCGTTTTTTATTTCAGTTCCACACGAAGCATCTGCTGGCAAGTTATGCACGTTACCTGCGGCGTTCAACCAATTATTTTTTAGAACGTTACCCTAACGTTATCTTTGTGGTGGCGTCAGACAACATGAAAAGAGCTCATAATATATTTTATAAATACGTCAGAGTGAGAAGCGTATTATTTGAAGGCGGAGGTGAGATTTATTGATTCTCCTAGAATTATGTCGGAGGTGGTTGCAAATTTGCACAAGTTTCATCAGTCAGCGATCAATAGCTGTGTCTATTTTTTAAAATTAAGGGCCAGGCTGAGAAATTAATATTTATATGAACTACTTTCTGAAAATTCCCATGCGCCGACATCTTCCCTGTAGTTATCCCATTATTTTTTGCTTTGACATTACCTATTTTGCTAAGTCACATCACTAAAATCTATGCCAGCTGGTAGTATTTGCATTCAGCGATGGCACATTCGTCAATTCTAATTTTTCAGTACAGGCTCATTCTTGGACAGGTTCAGCAGCGGAGGACATGAGCCTGTTAGCGCAGTGCGACCACCACATTATAACCCTGGGCTCGTTCGGCTTCTGGACGGCATACCTTGGAAGAGGAGTGGCCGTGTATCCATTCCTCTCATCCAGTACTTACCCCTTCACCAAGCCCGTCTACGACGCAGCGAGACTCAATAATTTCGTTGCTATTCCTTTCGAAGATCCGCTAACCTAACGAGATACGTATTCCAAGACGGCGTCTAGTGGGGGAATTACTTCTGAACCTAATCATAATAGTTAATAAAATAAACTTGACTAGACGCAGCGTGACTGACCACATTTATTGCCATTCCTTTCAAAGATCTAACCTTCCGAGATACGCATTCAAAACAGCGTCTATTGGAGGAATAATAGCTTCTACACAGCCAGCTGATCGTAATCGTGAATAGAGAGAAGTGTCTAGACTAGACTTTGTTGTCTTTCCTTTCCAAGATCACCTAACTCTCGAGATTCGTATTTCAAGAGCGTCAACTGAGAAAATTGCTACCAAACGTGATCTTAAACTCTAACTAAATGAGTAAAAGGTTACAAGCAGCGAGATTTTTGTTGCCATTACCGCTGACCTCCCGCGATACGTATTTCAAGATGAGGTCTTTTTCTTGGAACAACTTACAAACCTGAACGTAGTCGTGTAGTACAGAAGAGATTCAACTTAACAACGCAGCGAGGCTTACTATGTTGCCATTATCATCGAAGACCTTCCGGCTATTCCAATTTAATAATCTTTGCCAATTCCTTCTATCCTATAAGCGTTGCAATAATGTGTAAACTTTAAAGCATGAATAGCTAGTTGTGTGTTACTTCTACACTTAGTACTCTACACTTATTCATTAGGGAGAAGATAGTTGAAAAATTAAAATATTTACTCATTACATTTAGATCTGGAATGAGATCTTACATAAACGTTTATGAAGTAACAAATGTAGCATTTTTCGCATGTTGAGAAAACGCCCTTAAATCAGACATGATAGGGAAAGCTATGATATTCCGCAGGACCTCAACTCCGTGAGATAGTAACAATCTGAAACGAGTTTCACCTTCAACAATCCTCATGTGAAACATGATCAAATAACTAAAGCAGAACACAACACACTAGAATGTCTTCAACTAACGGCCAATCGCCTGCATGACACACAACTTTTATTCGAGAAATTTGAATGTCTTCAACTAACGGCCAATTGCCTGCATGACACACAACTTTTATTCGAGAAATTAATATTCTGAGTTAATCCTACGTTGACCAGATCGTAAGCAGTCAAAACGCGCTGGCAGTCAGAACAAACTACTTCTGTGCGTCAGTTTCTGGTCAGAATCGGCAAGGAGGCCGGGCGGTTAAGCACAGCAGAATTGTAGCAGTGAGTTGCGAGTTCGAGACTGCAAAATGCTGTGAATGTTCTGCGATGTTAAGAATCGGCGACAGGCCCACGGCCTAATAAACGCTGAAACCGCTATTATTATTATTATATTATTATTGGCACGCATATAATAATTAAAACAGATGTCATGAGAATGAAATGAAAAATATTGAAGTATGTACTCAAACAATGCAGATGCAACGACGCGACCTCTCGTAGGACAGAACGAATGTCATTCACTATTAAAGAGCGAAAGGACATGGCAAATGGCGGAATGGCTCGCTGTAACGTCTGGATGTAACTTGAGTTACAACCTGACGAGGGATTGTGGTTGACGCCGCATCGTTAAACAGTCCTAAATAATAGACCACTAAACTCTTCGCCATGCTAGTTACATTACTAGTTTAATATAAATATAAAATATTNTACCTTCTAAAGTTCTAACCTATCAGACATTACAAAAATATATTCATTTCAATAATGGCAATACTTCATGTGATAAAATGCCGAGTTCCCATTAATTGAAAATGTTCTATTTCAGAACTCTTTTGGACTGCCGATAACTACGGTATAGTCGTTCGCAGCATCCAGTTTTCAGAGTAGAGACAACGGCACATAAAGCACACTCAAAATATACCTTATAAAATTTGTATTATATTAAAACTAAGCAATCGCCACAAATTCACTTGAGCAGTTGAAAAAAAACTGAATAAAGATGTACGATGCGAACATGAACTGAATCTTCTATCACTCGAGTAGCTCATTGGTAATATGGATGTGTGTGTTTATTTGTTTATTGAGGATGTGGGGTTAGATAGTATGGATATTAAACTCGGGCCCTTAAGATGCATAACCTGAGATTGTCAATACAACAGCTCAAGCCACCTCAGACCTAATCGTTAGTGATGAACAAATGAGCAGTAAATTCACAATATAGCAAGGCTTCAACAACCCACCAGGCAACTGGTGTTGAAATAACGATTATTACACGTTTTTCCAATGCAATTAACGCGTCACCAAAGTGTTTCGAATTTATTTGTCTAGGGAAGGAGCGGCTGAGCGGCACAAACACAAACTAATGCAATATCATCAGACACATCACAAAATAATAGCTGTTGGCTGAACTTTTGTGAAATGATAGCTGTAATGTAACACGCTAAATTCAGAGTCAAGGAAATAGTATATTTCTGAATTGTTATTATTCTCAATTTAAACTAGTTATTTCTGAATTGCGATTTACGAAATGGTTGATAATTTATTAATGTATCTCCCATAATCCAAGTTGGAGATAATCCATAAATAGTTTAAATAGGATATCACAGGCAGAAAAAGAAGAATAAAAAACAGAGATTGCGACTGATTTAACTCTGGCTAATGAAAAGTGAATAAGAAACCACAGTTTAGATAAATTATTGATAAATTTCATTTTCTAGTAGATATTAAAGAAAATTTAAGAAACGTGGAACGTTTTCCTTGTTGCACATATTTAAACTCAACATGTAGCAGAAACAGCAATCCATTTTTTATAGTACAAGGGTAAAAGGCTTTAAAAGTTTTTCATCTAGTCTTAGGATGGAAAGTTCCTCACGTTTGTTTATTCAAAATAAAATGCTTATTTGCTGTTCTCAGGATATGGAGTTTATCGGCTGTTCACCGGATGTGTTGTTAACCATTTTCAGGAAAAAAAATTTTTGACCTGATTGTTCTCAGAATGATAGTTTTCAATTTTTTCTTATGATAAAAGTTCTGAAATTTACACATGCAGAAAAATTCCTAGCTCCACTCTGCATAAATTCCCAGCCCAACCTGCGGGAGATCGTGTTCCTCAGCCCCCCTGCAGATGACGTCGAGGTAAACTTTGGATGGCCGCCGGTCACGCTCAAGGGGTCGGATGATCCGATAAGCGCGGGCTTGTACGGTCTCTCCTGTAGACCTGAGCAGCACGTCCACTAGCAGCGGCTTGTACACACCCACATGCTCGCCAGCGCTGTCCAGCTGAACACCTTCTTGTCTGTTCCAAAGATAATTAGGTGAAAACTCAATCCATGACACAAAGAACAATACACTTTTGATCAAGAAAGAACAAGGTTTAATAAGAACTTAATAATAATAGGATTTCTGGGACCTGACTCCTAGGGTTATTGGACAAAGTAAATTATTGTGAACTGGTGAAAAGTGATCTTCAACTGAAGCAACCAGGTCAGATGTTAGTGAAGCATGCCATGTGATATGAGAGAATTAAAAAGAAAAATACTTTCCAAACTTAAAATGCAAATGCACAACGAAATTTTAAAGCCTATGTAAGCCTATAATGATTCATACAAAAATACAGCAGTATATATTTAACCAATTTATATAAGAAACATAAATATGAGCTCTTAGCAACTTAAAATTTATATCCAATGTTTACCCGAGCATAATTCAAGTCATGTCAACGTTTTCATTTGATGCATTGTGAGATAAGAAATATTCTAACTCCTGAGCTGTGACCACACCCAGTAGCATGATACAGTCCAGGCAATCCAAATCATTTCAGGCAGTTGAGGATATTAGGAATCATTAGCTGTAGCTTACTCATCCAGATGTGGCATGTCACTTTGATTGAGTCTCCACAAGACGCCCCAAACATGGTCCATTGCAGAGTCATTTCTTCCAGCCAAACCTTCAGTCTCATTTCTGGCATCAGATTTGTCAAAGTTGATTGGGTTCACAGTTGCTGACGCTCCCTTCCATCGCTTGCAAAAGTGATTGAATTCCAGTTTATATCCCTGAACAAAATGAGAAATGTTAATAATGGTGTAAGACTTGAAGCTGGAAAACATAACAGGATTTTTACCATTACATTATTTTGGTAGAATTATAATGCTAGTTTAAATTAAAACAAAATATTTTCATAGCTAAATATTTTAGGAAAATTTAGGATTTTTGGTCAAATAATTTAGGAATGCTTGAGAGTGTGAATTGTGAATAAAGAAATATATGCTTGATTTTATCAATGCAAGATGTATATACTTAAACCAATGAAATTAAAGACTTATCTTACAGAGAGCCAACTGCCAAGTAGTATGATATGAATTTTTGATACCAATAATTTAAATTTACTGCAAATTGATGGTTGTTGTCTGTTGAGTACTCACATCTAGACGAGCAACATCCACAAATGTGGCTGATGGGTTGTTAATGTGGATTCTCTCAGTGAGGAGATTAGAGCCAAATGCAAAGTACAAAAAAGAGTCAGGCATCACAGTTACAGATGCAGGCATTGTGGTGAAGTTAGAGGCAATCAGTTAATTAGAATAAAAAGCACAATTCAATATCCCCTGAGAAGAAAAAACATACGTTTTTAAGAGCATCACACATGACACAATTATACACAGTATTAACATTTAACATCATAACTTCATTAGAAGTATTTCAGTATAGATGGGCAATCAATAAATAAATTAATCATGAAATTTCAAATAGATAGCTAAATTAATGCTCAATCTATCCTATTATTAAGATTGAAACAAGAATTTAGAATTGTAGTGTTTATTTGTTAAAAGAATAAAGTTGGTACCGGTACTTGGTATTGATGGAACCTTTGGTCCTAATTTAGTTAATTTCACTATTACAAGTAATATTAAAAAATAATCAGGGATTTCAGGCTCATGGTAGAATTAAAGCTGGCTATTAATGGATATACCAATATGAACAAGCGCATATAACGGTAATTTACGCTACGGTATTTCATATGGGAAATAAAAGTCTGAAGCTATATTTTAATATTCTTCATTCATCTTTTGCTGACATTTTAGAGCTGATCTATAATATTATTCAGACTTATTATTAATTAGCGGTTTCAGCATTCATTAGGGCCTGATTAGGCCGTAGGCGGCGGTAGCCGGTAGGCCTGTAGTTGATTCTTAACATTGCAGAACATTCACAGCCTGTTGCAGTCTTGAACTCACAGTCACAACTCACAACTCACAGCTACCTACAAATTCTGCTGTGCTTCACCGCTTGGTCGGGCCGGTCCCGGCCTTCTTGCCGATTCTGACCAGAAACTGGTGCACAGAGCTGGGATCAAACCCACATCACTTGGGCCACACCTCTCTGCTCCAATCCAATGACCAATCAGCAATCGCACTCTGAAGTCTGAACTCACAACTCAGTGAACTGTAAGTGTAACGGTGTAACGGTAACCACTGGACTGGGGAGTGGGGACTGGGCCACCCTGGCCCTGCCCTTGCTTGGATTATGCTGCTTCTTCATTATGAGACTAAACAGACTATACTGTGACTGTCTAATTTCATTAATTCAACAATTCCTCCCTATAGGCTATACCGCTATAGGGACAGGTACTGGTCTAAACAAATCTATAAATAATGTAAGTAAATATTTGTTGTTCTTCTTGCTTGATGCTTCTTGGCAAGTAAATAGGTATTTAAAATTTGTTAAACTCAATCCTTATGTTGTGTGAGCGGGAGCGCAGCCGTGGCCCGTGGGTAACAAAATTGACTCATGAACAGGCCCTGGGCCCAACGCCAACAATCAGCATGCAATATCTACACATAGCCTCTCCATAGAGCCTCTGAGCCTCAGATCAATGAGCTGTGGGTAACTCCGGCAGTCCGGCTAACAGTAAATCCGCTTTGCACAACACAGCCACTGCTCCACAGGGCCGGAGCACAACAGGCGGCGCAGGTTAGGTTAGGACTTAGGAAGTTAGGAGTACGAGTACCTAGCTGTTGCGGTAGGGCCTGCTGCGCTCCGGCCAGTTGTGCTCCGGCGCTGTAATTACCAGTGCGGCGCAGTGCCTGTGACTGAACGGCGCTGTTATGGTGGGCGGCTGGGCGCTAGGAATGTGTCGAAAGCCGTGAAGATGCCCGGCTGCGTTACGCTCGGGAAGGTATATGAATCGCAGTATCGCACTGTGGAGTGTGGACTTGGGCTATGCTGACCTGAGACCTCTAGCTATCCACCCGTGTGAGCGCCGAGCGGTGAGGTAACCACTACCGGCTCCGGCATCGTTCTGTCAATGCCAATTTCCGTTTTCCGATGACTTTGCCAGAAACACTATAATATAGAATAGGAGGGTCTGCACTGAACTGAAGAAATAGGCCTATGGCCTGTTGCCGATTCTTAAACTTTTCGTGACTTTATTCACAAGGGATCCGGCCTTTGGAACCCGATGTTTCCATAACTGACGATTGATTGAGATAGCTCCGGGACTTATTGCCTGGTCGGCTGGTCCCGGTCAGGTGCAATTCTTGTACTTTTCGTGAATTGATTCACAAGGGATCCGACCTTTCGAACCCGACGTTTCCATAGGCATAACTGACGGATTGACTGAGAATTGATAGCTGCTGGACTTATTGCCTGGTCCCGGTAAGGTGCAATTCGTACGCCTTCATGAAAAACGATCTTCTCTACAAATGAAACTGGACACTGCTTTCCAGCGCGATCAAAACAGCTTAGGTTATTAAAATCCGTAAATTGAAAATGTAATAGTATTTGTATACAACAGGTATGTCAGGCAAAAGAACATTATTTATATATCCGTGATCGTGATGGTAAATCGATGGATCAAATGCACTTCACCCACTCAGAGAATAGAAGCTGTCACAAATTTTCAATTATTGCCACAAAACCGGCAGTTCGAACCCAAAATTGACTGCGGTTTGTTGACGTTATTTTTACTGTAGCTACGCAACAGTAGCGTCATTGTTCAATCTGCAATGCACATTCCTCCCTCCGATTCCAGTTCGCAGTGTTCAAAGCAAGTCTTGTCACCAGTCTGGTGGATGGTAATGGTATTTACCTGTTTTGCATCAAAAACTTTATCAATTGGTAAATACGGAATCCTGATGGCATCTTTACATCAAAAGTGTGCAGTGGGATTATACCCAAAGACCGAGGTGTGGAGTAGTAATAATATTTTTGGAAGTCAATCACTTTAATACTTTAGTAATACTAATAGAGTAATAGTCATAACTCATACCAACAGTTCAAAAAATCTTCCTAATCCTAAATACTAAAATAGTCGTACTTGTAGCTAACCACCGTGTGACATAAAAACTACATAAATTTTCTTGACTGATTTCATTAATTTTACTTTCATATGCATTTTATTTCTAAATTGCAATGTTTATGTACATTATATGTTTTTTCCAGGTTCAACGTTCTGTCAAGCATGTGGACTGGGCTATTCCAGATGAAGGCTACTCTCCAATAGATTACACTGCCCCTAGCATCCTCAAGCAACCACCTTATGCTGACAAATTACCCGAGTGAGCTTACTTTAGACTTTAGAGTTAAGAACCACACATTGTAAATTATTGATTGTCAAATTTTCTTTGTCTTTGTATCAAAAATTTTTAGAATAAAAGGCTGCATAAAAATAGTAGTAGGTAGGTACTTTTGTCAAAAATTGAGCCTTTTGTAAAAATGTGTTCACAAAACTTTATCCACATACAGTACATTAATAATTGGCTGCTGAAATCTTTTTTTCATCTTATTTCACCTAAATCGCCTATCCTCATTCCTCATCATCTTAAGACAAGCTAATTGAAAGAAGTTGCCATAGTGGCTGCGTGGCATAGTGATAGTTAAGTAGACCAGTAAAGTATCATGGATACCAGCATCATCATACATAAGAAATTGGCTTAGATCTTGAATAAATGAGGAAATTAAAAATGAGCTGATTCTAAAAAATCTCTGCTTTGCCACTATGGTCTTTGTATCAAAAATTTTTAGAATAAAAGGCTGCATAAAAATAGTAGGTACTAGGTACTTTTGTCAAAAATTGAGCCTTTTGTAAAAATGTGTTCACAAAACTTTATCCGCATACAGTACATTAATAATTGGCTGCTGAAATCTTTTTTTCATCTTATTTCACCTAAACAACATGCCTATCCTCTATCCTCATCATCTTAAGACAAGCTAATTGAAAGAAGTTGCCATAGTGGCTGCGTGGCATAGTGATAGTGGCAACTGCCAACTAGGAAAGTGAAACTAGATTTTTTAGAAACAGTTCATTTTTAATTTCCTCATCTGCTCAATATTTTAATCTATTTCTTATATATGATAATGCTGGTACGTATGCAAGATACTCACTTGTCTACTTCTTGGACTCAAAAATGAACTTGAGAGAGGGCAACAAAAAATTTCTCTTTGGCCACTATGCATAGGAGGTAATGTTACATTTTTCATCAGCATCTTCTGCTTCTGATTGACTTCTCTGTCAGTCAAAAGAACAGACTGCCTTGAACCTTCCTCAGCTTCAGTTCATATTGAATTGTACATTCACAACCTAAAATAAGATTTAACTTCTTATTGTTTTCAAAATTTAGGATGTTTCATAGATATTATAAGGTTTAAATTGGATGTGGTCTTGAATCAATAAATATTATAAATAGGCCTAATTGGTTAACACAAATAATTGAATTACACAATGTAATTAATAATTTAATCATGCAGTTTGCTTAAAGACTCTGTATGAAATAAAAGATGTTTGAAATATTTCATGACATTTCTGTTAAGGGAGTTAAACAAAATCAATTGCTCATTTGTTGATTTGTTGATATGGCTTTGAACTACAATTCCTGTATTTAGAGATGAATTGTTGAATTTTCCTAATATTAATTTGTGTACTTTATTTGTCTAACATGTTGTGTTAGGCAATTTGTTCCTATACAACATGAATATTTTCTGGAATGATTTAAGATTCGCCTTGCTTAACTACTTCGATCCACTTGCAGCGCTGCCGACTTTTCTCCTGCATGGAATGCTCTGGACGGACAAGTAGACCGGCGTTCTCATGAAGCTCCTTATGCCATTGTTGATGGACTCCCTCGGTTGGTAGTGGTATCTGAATATATATATAAATATATATATAACGGTATCTAATGGCATACTGTGCAATGTTTTGATTTAAAATAATTGTACCAATGCCCACAGTAACCCTCACGGCCGCACTGGAGTTCGTGGCCGTGGTCTGCTTGGCAGGTGGGGACCCAACCACGCCGCTGATCCCATCGTCACCCGCTGGAAGCGGTCGCCGACAGGGGACAAGATCATGAACGGTATACCACGTGACTATGGTGGAAATGTAGGAAAGGTGGTTCATAATTAATACCGACCTAGCCCAGTACCTTGATCCGTTTAAAAATATTAGCTATACATAAGACGAAAATGAAATTATAAATTTTTAGATCCACTATGATATGCGCAACTATTCATTTATTACCTCTCTTAAATTCCACCCTAGGTCCTAGTCTTGAATTCCTCCTTAAATATAATGTTTTATGTGCTGTGTAAGACTAGCTACTTGAATACAACTCAAATACATTGAATTATAGGTAACATGTCTGATGAATCAATGTCGATCAATAATGTTCATTAAAGCGGGCATCATTGGCACATTAAAGTAAAAATGTAATCAATTAGTCCACAAAAAATTATGTTGATAACAGCGATTGTAAGCATGAGCCAAATAATACATCAATAATAACTGAAACTGTTTTTTTCTTAATGCGAGCTTGGAGTTAGTGTTTTGAATTTATATACAGAAAGCAGCGGCCTGCCAGTTCTGGAATTTGTGTGCATTCTACGTGGTGACGGCGGGGGCTGGGCCATTCCTGGGGGCATGGTCGACCCTGGCGAGGTGAGGGGTCCTTATACTTGGTTACTCTTATCTTCCATACATTTTTTGGGTGTGTTGCATGCCTTCTTATCAAGAGTGTGCCTTCTTATCAAGATTGTAATGTGGTGTGCCTTCTTATCAAGAGTGTCCTGTGGTGTGCCTTCTTATCAAGAGTGTCGTGTGGTGTGCCTTCTTATCAAGAGTTTCCTGTGGTGTGCCTTCTTATCAAGAGTGTCCTGTGGTGTGCCTTCTTATCAAGAGTGTCCTGTGGTGTCCCTCCTTATCAAGAGTGTCGTGTGGTGTGCCTCCTTATCAAGAGTGTCGTGTGGTGTGCCTTCTTATCAAGAGTGTCGTGTGGTGTGCCTTCTTATCAAGAGTGCCGTGTGGTGTGCCTTCTTATCAAGAGTGTCGTGTGGTGTGCCTTCTTATCAAGAGTGTCGTGTGGTGTGCCTTCTTATCAAGAGTGTCCTGTGGTGTGCCTTCTTATCAAGAGTGTCGTGTGGTGTGCCTCCTTATCAAGAGTGCCGTGTGGTGTGCCTTCTTATCAAGAGTGTCCTGTGGTGTGCCTTCTTATCAAGAGTGTCCTGTGGTGTGACTTCTCATCAAGAGTGTCCTGTGGTGAAGTTAGCAAACAAACTTGATTTTACTGCTGTTCGGTCCAGGTTGATGCGTTACACTGCCACCTAACTTGTGGATGAAACAAAATACCCTAAATTTGACTACTGTGCATTTCAAGCAGGCGTTTGTTACTTCCATCAGATTTGTTGGTGTCTCAATAATTCCTAATACTTAACTGGTATTTACTGAGTGGTGTTTTGTACTGCCACCTTGCTTGTCGGTGCTATAATAATAATATATTCCATAACAATCCCGACAATTTGACCGTTTGTGTCAGGTGGTGTCGGCGACGTTGAGGCGGGAGTTTCTTGAGGAAGCTCTGAACGCCAACGATCTCAGCCCCGAGGAGCGTCAGCTCAGAACACAGCAGATCTCCGAGCTCTTTAATAAAGGTCTTTTTCAACTCTTAATGTTATGTTTGTCTGACGAATATAGATGCTCCAACTCAATGTTGTATGCGCCTGACAAATAAAGATACTTCAACTCTTACTGCTGTGTGTGCCTGGCTAATAAAAATTTTTCAACTGTTGATATAGTGTGTGCAAGATTTGTATATCTCTGATGACACGGTTCATTTTTAATAAGTGAAGACACTGTACATCAATCATCACTAATGACAATGTGCATTTGTATATAACTGATTACACTGTACATTTTTTATCACAGATGACGCTATACATTTTTCATGACTGACGATACTGTACATTTAATATTTGTATTCAGGAGTTGAAGTGTTCAGCGGCTACGTGGACGACCCTCGCAACACGGACAATGCTTGGATGGAGACCGTCGCCCAGAACTTCCATTGTCGTACCTGCGCAATGTTTTGCTGTGATGTGTTGTTTTCAATTAAACATGATTTACAATTTTTGCTTTGAAGCGTTACAATAAATAGTTTCACAAGAGTTGCAATTTATAAATTCGAGACATGCATTTCATAGTTTCAAGAGTTGCAATTTATAGTTTCACGTGTTGCAATTTATATTTTTAAGGGTTGCAATTTATAGTGTCGAGAGTTGAATTTAATGGTTTCAAGAGTTGCAATTTATAGTTGTGAAAGTTGCTATTTGCTTTCGTGAGTTGCAATTCATAGTTTCAGGAATCGTAATTATAGTTATGAAAGTTGTAATTTATAGTTTTGAGAGTTACAATTTATAGTTTGTACACTCGGTAAGATTTATCATCATTTACGCTAAGGTTATCCTCAGCATAATGCGCATCATCATTTAAAATATCGTGAGAAGCCATAAGTCAAACTGATGGGAATGAATCAAGAACTCTTGAAGATCCAAGAAAAATTTAATTTTAATAATCACGCCTCTTCCTATATAAATTTAGAAGATCATTCCATGATTTTGGAGCGACAACATTTTTTCAACAAGAAACCATCGCCTTCTGACTGTTATTGATTGCATTTAAAATCAGTTTCTACAGCATTAGGATCTATTATTGGTCTCAAAAAAGGGGCAATCATTTGTGGACAAGCTACATGTATTTTTGTCTACGTAGTATAATTCGTGGTGCACAAACTGTGATTGAAAATTTTGATAAATAGACAACTTTCTTAGTTAAGAGTTTAAATTTTATGTTCGAAGTCTCGACGCAATCTAGAAGATAAATGTTATTGCATGGGTTCATTTCTTCAGAGCTGGAAGTATTCTAGTCGTGGCTTAAGTTGCAAATTATTGCTCTAGTTCAGAGTGCACTGTCTTCTTATGATAGCATAAAATTACACTATATATCAATTAACCCAACTTTCCTTGGCTGCCTTCAATTACTGATAAATGGATTTCTGCAACATTGATAAACCACTAGTTGAAAGTTATGTTAGGAATTCGACACTTGAGACAGTCTAATCAAAATTGATTTTTGGTTTGAATTTCAGCACTAAAAAAGTAAAGGTAACGATTTAAGGATTTACAAAGCGTCCAATGTGTTCGTCAGAAAATTTTTTCAGGCACTAGAAACAGGGGTGCGTTCTGTTTTTTTCCGCATTGTATGTCATTCTAATTTTTATATAATAAATTCTATTACATTTCATCATATCATCATTTCATGTTTCATCATTTCATCATGATTATTTCCGTTGTTAATCCAGACGCTTATGATGATGATCCAGGAAGAACGTTGGTGCTTCGATCCAGATGTCAGTAGGAAAAGAATGTTGTTTCTGGCGCCGTCACGCTCGCTGGGGGGGGGGAGGCTTCGGTCGTGGCCTAGGGGGAGGTACCGGAAGAGGAGGGAGATGGGCGAAGTCAGCGAGGGTGGCCAAGAACGCCTCCACCACTCTCCCGCCGCCGCCGCCGCTGCCGCCACAGTTTAATGATGTAGACGCGGGTGCTATGACGATGAGCCTGGTAGGCCGTTAGAGCTTCGGTCTCTGGTCCAGACGCCGTACATGAGACGTAGTTGCCTGCTGAAGCGTTTGTTCAGGGCCAGGTAAAGGAAGAAGTTTGCTGAGTAATGCAGCGACATCAGGATCGTCACCAGGAGTTTGAAGAACCTGAAAAGATAAAACTTCTGACACACTGTCTTGTCAATGTGATTTAGATGTACAAAAAAACTTCTAAGTCACTTACCGTAATCGGTGGTATAAACTTCCCTGCAGGGGTGATAGAAGCTCATACTGAAAGCTGCTTGGTCGTTACCAACACCTAGGGGCCTCCGTCCGATGGCGATCCGAGCGGGTGGGCCTCTGCCGTTTGGCCTGGCCACGAGTGCGGGCATCCGGCCGACGCGCAGGCCAGGTTACACCGACGACGTAGACGCGGCAGAGATCGGGGGCGTTCCCAGCACCTGATCCTGTAAGCTGCTAGATATTTACGTGTATGTGCTCACCTGAAGGTAACCTCGTGTGAAAATTTACAGACGCGGCAGCTTCTGATTTGGTTGGAGTACCAGAAGCTGGGGCGACTCTTACTTTTGTTAGGGTGTATATGAAGAGCGGGACTTATTCACCAACGATTTGAAAATACTTTTTATTAAAACTAATAAAGAAATTTTAAATAAAGTACCGCATTTAAGATTGCCATTTATTTACATTCTTTTGTCGAATAATTCAACAAACTTATTGAAACTAAACCATTTTGTCAGTCATTGTTGAAGTGTCTTCTACAACAAAATTTCCGTGATGATTTTGCCAAGGCTGCAAATCGGTTTAATTTTCTTTTGGACGTCCAACTCACCATATGAGCCTGACTCGCTTGCTCACCAAGCGTCGTGTTGGATGTGTGCCTTTCAGATCGTCTTTGTTTAGACCTTCTCTTGCTCGAGGCAAAAAAAGACGAACGAGGTGACATCAGGAAATTCTTGTTTTTCTCCTTCCTAACGTCATCGAGACAGTCATGTTTCATTTGGACGAAGCAAGAAGGCAGAGAAATGCTTCTTTTGATGTCGCATGTGCATGTACCGAATACAAAATTCTGTGCAACATTTTCCTTCTGTATTTTCTTACATTTCTCACAGAATTTAATTTTGCGAAAGTTGATGGTCACTGATTGTCTGTATTCGTCTTCGTGCCCGCTGCATTTTCCGTCATGATCATCAGAGACGTGTTCCCTTTGTAGCAAGCGAATGTGCACCATTATTTCAGTATTACTCAGCGAGGCTAACGTAGACCGGCGTTGCCCTCCCGTTTGAAATATCGCGACTTGGCCTTCATTCGGGATATTTCCAAGCGTGGGGCTTTGAGCTTTTTTTATCCTCGATTCGGGCTCAGGGCTCGAGTTTTGAAAGTTGCTGACGGGCGGCGAGTTCGACGCGTCGCCAGACTCGGTTCCGCGGCTGAAATTCTGGCCGAAACTCGACAACGATAAGATGAAGAGCAGGTTTCCTACCAGCAGGAACACGCCAGGTGTGATGGCGAGGAGGATCAGACGCAGCCAGTTATGAACGTTGTAGTACCTGCAAAAAAGAAACCGTTACGTCACCCGCTGTACGGCCGCTCTACATTTGATACCTCTCAAAAATTGGGAAATTGGGCCCCAACTGACACGCTCTTACTGGTAGGCTAAGACAGGGCCCAACAGTAGTGTCCATGGCCCTAACAGAAGGATGGGTTATCTTAAAAATTATTTCGATTTGTATGCATATGACCATTGCCGGCATGTGCGGAGGGGAGAGGCCTTGACTTGAGGACGGTGGTTGACGAAGGCGGTGCATCAGCGCGACCACAGATAAATGACCCAAACTTAACAAGAGGTCATGAGAGATTAATATCCTAAACTCAGCAAAAGGTCATGAGGACCGAACTCTCCCCTCTCACCCTGATGCCGAAAATTCGGTCCTGACAATGACGCCATCGTCGATGCGGTAACTGAAGAAATAAGGCGCGTTGAACACTACGCTGAAGACGACGATTCCGACACATATTTTATTAGCGATCCTTGTGGTCCTCCAGCGCCGGCTTCTGATCGGCTGGCGGATGACCAGCAGCCGTTCCAGTGTTACTGCCATCAACGTCACGATGGAGGCCGTTGTGCTCACCGAGCCTGCGAGTTGATTATTAATAATTGAAATTATAATTATTTCAAGCATATACAATTATGTTTATATTACATTAAAATCAGCGCCAGGCTGTAGGTAAAGTTTATTGTATCAATATTACGCACCAAGGGGCAAGTGGACGAAGATGTCGATCCACTGCAGCCAAAAGAGGTCTTGCCCGACGCTCTTGGCCAGCACGCTGAGCATGACCAGTGTAACCGTTAAAAGGTCCGCCACCGACAAAACTGCACGAAAACACGTTATTGTAAAAGTAGGTTCAGTGTTAAATAAGACAAATCTGAAATATTCTCGATTGCAGATAACGCAGAATACATACAGCTTGCTAAGGTTTCGAGTCCGTATCTCACTGCTTCTATATATTGCTGTAACAACCATTGACTACTGCGCCAATTGACTACCGCGCAACTGTCACAAGTTGCTGGGATCAAACCCACAACCCGCTGCTACACTCTTGGTACTCTGAACGGTGGGCATTCGGCCACCCTGCTGATTTGGAATTGTCAGAATATGGAACGCTCATTAAAGGCAGTGTTGGTGTCTGTCTTTACTTCTAACAGCTATAATAGAATATAGGACACCTTTGATTAGGCCATGTTGGCTGGTAGCTGATTCTGTATCAACCGGCCACCGTGCCGATTTCGACCAGAATTCTTGCATCCAGTTGTGGGTCTCGACCCGCTGCTCTTCTCTTAGGGATATTGACAACTCGGCCACCAAAAAACGGAGAGCAGCACTGTGACTGCCAAATTAATTGCGTCACTTCCTAGGCAACAGCTGATAGTGAGAACAATGCTCCTGCTGTCGGTGATGAGTTAATTAACATGCATCTATTAAGGGTTTGTTTAAGATGGATCAACAGTGGGACCAACGTTTCTTTGTGCAAGTCATTTATTGTGATAATTTGGGATACATTAACGGTCGCCAATGATGTAGTAATCCAAAGCCATGCAGTCTAAATTCTGGCTCATGTCTTTACAGTTAAGAAAAAGTTGGAGCCAACAGACTGTTTCCATGAATACATTCACAAATAATATTAGACTTCTTTGCTGTAATGTTTTCTCATTGGTTAAGGGCAGGGTGGCCCGGTGGTTAAAGTTCAGAGTACCAGGATTGGAGCAGAAAGGCGCGGGTTCGATTCCAGCTCTGTGCGTCAGTTTCTGGTCAGAATCGGCAAGGAGGCCGGGCGGTTTAGCGCAGCAGAATTGGAGCAGTGATACGAGTTGCGAGTTCGAGACCGCAAAACGCTGTGAATGTTCTGCGATGTTAAGAATCGGCGACAGGCCTACGGCCTAATAAGCGCTGAAACCGCTATATAACCGCTATATACATATCTTTCCACTCTTTACATTGATTTTGGTTTAAATCATATTTACAATGAAGTAGAATCATATTTACGTCAAAGTTTTCAACTTTTTTTTATAGATTTAAAGTCTACCAACTTTTCTATTTTGCTGCAAAAATTAGTATTGCCTAGAGTCTTGAAAAATACAATTGATTATTTTTTTATTGATCGAAACCCCATCGACAACCATTAATTTGTCTACCAAGCGATTTCTGTCCTCGACCCTCAGAGTTCGGTAAGGATCGTTGTGCCTTCCTCTGGTTTTAAGTTAAACAAAGAGTTTATCTTTAAACTTGACACGGCACATAACTGTGAGATTGAGTGCATACCTTTAAGATATACATAGAGACTTTCTTTAAACTTGACATGGCACATGACTGAGAGACTGAGCGCATACCTTGACGATCTACATAGAAACTTTCTTTAATTAAACTTGACACGGCACATGACTGTGAGATTGAGTGCATACCTTTAAGATATACATAGACTTTCTTTAAACTTGACACGGCACAGGACTGTGAGACTTTTTGAAAGCCTTTACCTTTTAGATATACATAGAGACTTTCTTTAAACTTGACACTATTTGTATTCAGGAGTTGAAGTGTTCAGCGGCTACGTGGACGACCCTCGCAACACGGACAATGCTTGGATGGAGACCGTCGCCCAGAACTTCCATGAGGACGAACCTGGCGGCATACTAGACTCGGTCTGACCGCATGACTCTAAACCTCATATTTGTTATCAAATTATCCTTCTAGTATTGGTTTGTTGTGGATATTCACTTGCTCAGCTTGAGTGTTGGTGGATGCTAATTTTTCAGCTTGAGTGTTTGTGGATGCTAATTTTTCAGCTTGAATGTTGATGGATGCTAATTTTTCAGCTTGAATGTTGATGGATGCTAATTTTTCAGCTTGAATGTTGATGGATGCTAATTTTTCAGCTTGAGTGTTAATGGATGCTAATTTTTCAGCTTCAGTGTTAATGGATGCTAATTTTTCAGCTGGAGTGTTAATGGATGCTAATTTTTCAGCTT